GTGAATTTATAATTAATTAGTTGAATGTTGTTTGGTGTTTGCTATTTTTAAGAGCACTAATAGCATGTTTTGTCAAGATAGATAATTTTATTAATTGAATACCAATACTACTACATACGGTATGTTTAGTCAATATGGAAAAAGACGAAAAGTATGTAATAAATCAGGGTACATTAGTGCTTTCGTATGAATATATCCGCACATAAATAGTGTGTGAGAGTGATCTAGCCAAACCTGAATTTTCACTTCTATTTTATTTTACTTTATAAATTTAAAGTACCAAAGGATCGGCTCACAGCATCAATTTTGTTTTGAGTATGAAGGAACTCTCTCTTTGTGCATATGTTGCTGTTGAATTGTTAACTAACAACATTGCGAAAGGGCGGGATCAAGCTATTAATTTCGTATCGACATAATAAACACCTACATATATCCTCACATAGCCTTCGGGAGTTATTTTAGCTGGCGATTAGCATCGCTTTTATACATGATTGTTTACTTTTATCATCATTCTATTTGTAAATAATCGAACGATAAGACAACAAAGAACGACGAATGGTTGCAAAGTGGCCTAGAATATACCATATGGGATTCTAGTGGAACGTGGGAAGGAATGTGAAACACTGGAGGTTAGATCGTCATTATTATTAGTTTCCACAGAAACAAAGCAATCAGTATACAAATAGAAAGCAGCTAATATGGGCGCGAGCTACCCAGAGAACATTTTAGGGTGCAATCTAACATTCGGTAAGAGTGCAACGACGGCATCTATCTATCAATTGATATAATTTAAAGTATTTAATGAAGGCTTTTATCCAGGTATATTACTAGACTTAAAATTCTTTATTTTCCCTTTTAACACTAATTGGCTTTAAGTAACTACTAACTAAATAAAAAATGTTATTTTTATATTTATCTTGCGCATATTGTTTTGAATTTCCATATAATTATATGGTAGCTGAGTCGATTTTAATTTATTACATCTAAGAGGCTTCTTTACTACTATCTTTTTACTTTTTTATCTTAGAGCAATATTATATTTCTTAGTGTTGAGCATTTTTATTATTATTATTATATTAATTATTATTGAAATTTACATTATTTTATGAAAATACTTTGTTCATTTTATTTATTCTCTCTATCGATTTTTAAAAAGTGATTTTTGTGTTATTTGGCTTCAGAAAACTCAAAACTGAAAAGATAATGTCCATATATTCTTACTCATGAAGAATAAGAATTACTGATTTGATGCGTTTGCTTTCTGCTCGTTATCCCTAGATAATTAATTATGCTTTTTTGACCATATTCCCAATTCCTTATCTTTATATATCTATATCTATACAAAAATGTCAGGATCATCTTGATTTCTATCTTTTTAAAATATTATGTAGTGGAAGTAATCCAAAGCATTTCCATTATGTCTGAAGAATGCGAAGAGATATCAAGTACTACGCCAATTCAGCCGCAGAATAAACCTTCCCTGAGCTTAAAAGGCAGTGCTTTTCGCTTTAAAAGATATTCAAATCAAAAATCAAATTCGTGCTCGGGGGAGATTGTTTTTCCCACCACTTCATACCCTTTGCATTTAATCATGACGGAAAACGAAAGACCAGTTTCTGCCGAATCCGCGAGTTTAGTTTTAGCCAATTCCTTGAATGGGCGAATAGAAAGAAAATTTGAAGTGAAGCCGCCGTGGGAGAGGAACAGCGGAAGAGAAGACAATAACCATGCTGCTGCTCATAACTTATTGTATTCCGACAAAATATACGGTAGACACTCGATCGAAACTAATACCGCAAATCATTATTTTGAAGCTTCCAAGCAAAATCAAATAGCGTTTCTGAAGGGGAAGTCTTCAGCTTTACCGGATAAATGTAGTTCTGAAAAAGAATCTAGAGGAACAATATTCAGGAACAAAGTGAATCCCCTTTTAAATAATGAAAACGATAAGAGGGTACCACGCCCATTTCAGCTTTATTTACATCCTAGAAATCCTCCCACCTTGCACAGCGTAAAACTCATTTCTTTGCAAACGTGTAGTGATCATGATCTTGCTTTTAACAACAATACTTCTCCCGATTCTACGACCGCCCTGAAAACGGAAAGCCTCACCAGTATTGGCCGTCCTTCAACGCTTATAGAAGATCCAAATGCTATTATTGTGCGCGATCTATTCTCGAGATTTTCAGTAGAGAATAGGTCTTCGGCGGATTTGCAGGAGATAAACGCGTCCTTAAAAGTGGAGAATGAGATTTTTACCAGCGGCGATTCTATAGAGACGTCGGGACCCTCCATTTTTTCACATTTAAATGAATGTTGTCAAGCCGAAATGCTGACGTCCCCGAGCTTTCCCTCCGTATCGGTGGAAAGGAAAAAGCTTCAGGCGTTATTTCGCGGCGCGGATGAGAGGGTAAAAGATAAAATCGAATTTGCCATCAACCGTCAAAGATCACTTCACCTGGCTACCTCGGGAGATCACTTAATGTTGTCTGCCAAAGGAAATATCGATCCTAATAGGAAAAGCAGAGGCTGCTACCTCCCATCGCCAATTTTCCCTTTATTAAAACCCCTCAAAACTTCTCAAGTAGCTTCATTGGTGAAAGACAAAAACCTGGAAAAGAAATTCATTTATCAGGCTATGAAAGAGAAGGAAAAGCTCTTTGAAAAATCATGTGAAATGCTACGTCTTCAAAGTCTCCTTAATGCGCTTATTCTCGAGGAAAGAAACAAACGTATTGAGTTATTAGGCAGTTTTATCTCTTGCCAACATCCTCTACTTTGTGCTTGCGGAACGAAAGTGCTTTTAGAAGTAGAGTGCCCCGCAGTAGGAGTATCCAATCAGGTGGAAATTCCAGTAATTTGTTCCTTTATATCAACGGTGCTTGAGGAGCACGTTGTGCTTCAGGAATCCCTTCTCAAAGAGCGACAAAGCGAGCTGTGTTGTTTGAAGGGGATCTTTGAAATGTACTCTTTCGTCTACTTTGCTTATCAGCGTACGATGGAAAATGAGAGGGAGTGTTGGAAACATCTTATGGATTTTCATCGATTTTGTATGCGCATCGCTTCTTTACAGAATAATATCTCCACTTCATCTGAAAAACTAACCACAGAGAACGCACAAACAATTGCTCACAATAACTATGATTATTATCATAGTCCCTCAGTTCATAAACGAGATTCTATTTTTTTTTCGTACCGTAAATTTATCAAATTTACAATCTTCCTTGGAGGTGTGGAAAAGCATGAGGAGATCGAACGGAAGAAGATGGAATATGAGGAGGATATAATGATAAAAGAACTTATTGGAAATATTTATTTTTCATTGGGAAAAGCAATGATAGAGGGCATGCACAATACTATGTTTGGCCAGATGCGAGAAAAAGAGGACGAGGAATTTGCCTGTTTGCTTGAAAATTTCCTTCAGAAAAGGGGGCAGATCGAGGCTAAAGAAACCGCACAACGAGAAAAGAAACTTCTTATAAAGAAAATTACTGAAGAGCTAGAGCGATTGTCTGAATTAGCGAAGGAGGCCAAAGTAGATTGTGTAGCTTGTTATGAAAAGGGGTTCAAAGATATCTACCTTAAGGCGGTAAAGGAAAGAAGTATGTTGGAGCTAAACGAGCATCAGCGTCTTTCAGCTGAGGATAACATCGCGCTGGCGAATCAATGGCTTCTAGAAAACGTTATTGCCGAGCAGGAGAATTCTAATAATTATCAACGGAACCTTTTGATAACGGCTGAATTGTACGAGCGTGATTTAATTGTTGCCTTGAAAGCAGAAGTTTGCGAATTTTATCAAATGCGAGACATCTATCTACGGCAAGAGGAGGTTGAGAGGTTAATTTTAAATATTTTTGTAAAAGAATATGTAGAGAGGCAGCAAATGATTTCAAACTTTTGGAAAGAGCATCAAGTCCTGTTTGTGGAGCGCCTTGTACCGTTTTGCATGCCACACTTTGGCCCAACGCCATTGGGTGATGCCGTTAAGGCTTCCAACCTCAACTATTGTGAAGGTGAGATGACTTCAGTAAACCCTGCGTGTAGTGATAAGGAAAATGGTGCAAAGGTGACCTCTATAAAGGATATGGCGCACACTAGCGCTGGAGATAGTGCTTCTGACATAGATCTCCGCCGTATCGTGGTATCTAACCTTAATGGATATCTGGAAATTCCTCGAATCTACCAAATTTTCTCAATGTAAAAAGACTTTGCATCTTGTCGAGATGGAAATTTGAATGGTTGTATATTAGCAGCTATATATATATATATATGTTTTTTTATAAATTGCAAACCTTGATATGTAAAATTGATCAGAATATTTAGGTCACTCATATTTTTTCTTTAACCTTTCTTTTTTTGCTATTCTCTTTAAATGTTGTGAAATATAGAGTTTAAATAAAAAATGTGTAACCCAAGGTATCATATCGTATACAGTCATAATACAAAGAATCAATTAATAAAAAGATTTTACTGAAGTAATTGAAGTACATGCTTCCCTGATTTCTGGTATTCTCACTATTTTAACAGTAAATAAAAAGTTGAGTTATTAGCCTCTCACTTCTGTATTCTTTCGCGCAAGACTTGTAATTTGTTTGCGATATTTACAGTAAATCCTTCTTTGATTCACTTACTTTTCCTATTTTTCATGTGGCAGAGGGTAATTGAAACTCTCCTTCTTTAATTCAAAGATTACAGAATTATTAACTGCACTAATAAAGAAGGATACACTGAAGTATGAACCCCTCCAAGTATGAGAATTCGCCAAATAACGCTACTAAAGCTAATCCTACAGATTTTAGGATGAACTGTGCGGGGAAGATTCCACTTTATTACGAGCGTTTAGGGGTTCACCCTTCTATTAGCGCGGCGGATCTTTCTCGATGCTACAAGAAGCTCTCGCTGGAGCTGCATCCGGATCGCGTTACCTACCGGTCAAATACGCCAGTTGAGGCGGACAGACAACGCTACCAACAGATTACTGAGGCCTACAACGTTCTTTCGGACCCGTCGAGTCGAGCTGCCTACGATACTCGCCATGGCGTGAACTTCCACGCGCGCCTCTCCGCCCTACGGGAGACGATCACTTCGCACAATACCGGCGCGACGCGCCCCCTCGCCGACCGGGGCGCGCGGCGGCGGGACAGATCCTCCGACTCCCCCTTCCGCCATCCCTCCCTGAGGGACGAGGACTACGACCCAGAAGACTCCACCACCGAGAACAATGCCCCAGAAGACTATTCCACAGAGGACTACGCCCCAGAGGATTACACCCTAGAGGACTACGCCCCGGCCGACCCCACACGGCCTCCGCGGGCCTTCGCGCTTGAGCGCGTGGGCCTGGCGCAGCCCCAGGGGCGCTACTCTAGCGCTACAGTCCGCCACGCCAAGGGAAATCTAAAAAGCAATCTTAGGGGCAATGACAATAGTGTCTGTAACAGAAATGACAATGACAATAGTAAAGGCGGCTGGGGCCTGCTGCTGTGCGGCGACATCCTTCTGAGCTGCCCGTCCCACGCGGCGGTCCCCTTCCCTGCCAGGGTCGTGCAGGTGGACGGGCGGGCATGGCGCCGCGCGGAGGGAGGGCCGCTGCCATCGTGTGACGGGGTGGATGAGCTCCAGCTTACTCTCCTCTACGATGTCGAAGTGTGGCGGCTTGTGGGAGATTTCGCGCTGCTGCGCGATCCTGCTGTCCTGGACGGGCTGGTGCCGCCAGGCCAGATTGTCTCGGCGTTGCCGAGCCTCGGCATGAACGCCTCTGTGCTGACCGTCAACGGGACGCCTGTGAGCGATGCCAACGAGCTGCGCCATCTTTTGGGTTCCATCGCAGCGGAGGGCTCATTGTGCAAGCCGTCCAAGGAGCCCTTGCCGTGGCCGTTAACTGTTACTCTTGAGTGCGTAACTCTAGAAGGGCCCACGGAGGGTGAATGAAGCTGAAATTCCTGGAGAAACACACACAAGTGAGTCGCAAAGGTATCTTAAACAACTTCATCTGTGCACTCGCTTTTTTCGACATAGTAAGTGTGGTAAAAATTGTTTACATGCGATCAACGCAAATTGTATATTATAATTGCTCAAGACCAACTGAACAAAAAAAAAATGAACTCCTTGTCTTTTTTATCAGTCTTTAGAGAAGGAGAAAGAGTGAAAGATGGTGACATCATCGTCTGTAATAATAGTAAATAATAAATTACTTAATACTGGTAAGCCTGAATCATAGCCTAGCACAATTCTATAACTATCGTCAGAATTTCTCATATTTTTTCACTTTGTTTATTAATATTTTTTAAAGGGGTGGCTCCTCTGTCGTTTTTTTTTGAAGTTTTCCATTATTGTGGAAAACAGCCGTCAACAAGACGATAAAAAAAAGGTCAATAAGACGAATAAAGTAAATAAAAATACCCCTGTATGAGTACCTAAGCTTTGGATACGTCTGTGAGACTGCATGCCAATGATCAAGTCTGCAACAGGAAAAAAAGGAGACATAGATGTCGTGGATGGATCTCTTGACCAAACATTTCCGACACACGATCCAGATTCTTTTCCTGTACCCCATGAGTATTACCAAGAGAGTTCTCAGGTAAATGGATTCAAAAGCTATACGGATGTTTACCAATATTTACGTGATCCTAAACACAAGCGAACAAAGGAGGCTTTGAAGTCGGAGAATCACTACGCCAAGACATTCTTGGGCCGGCCGAAATTCTCTACACTACATCGTGAGCTTTGTCGTGAGATTAGATCGATGGTGGGCGCAACAGAAACCTCACTACCAGTTTTGGAAGGAAATTTTTGGTATTATACACGATACGAAGAAAATGAGGATTATCCGCTTCACTGTCGCCGGCCGTGTGATCTAAAGCATGGTATAAATGAAAACTTTCTTCAAGAGGTTTGCGAGTGGCAAGGGACTCACCCAAAGGGCGAACCGCTTCCCAGGTACTCGGACGAGGTTATTTTTCTTGATCTTAATCTCCTCGTGAAAGAATTGAAGCTGAAGTATATTGATATTGGAGACATGGATATCTCTTTTGATGAAACCAAGCTTGCCGTCACGCTGGACTGCTCCGGAGGGAAGGAAATCTATACTCTGTTTATATTTGAAATCCACGATGTTAATTACCGCAAATGGCTTGGGTGCGGCGCGAGCGACAAGCAAAGAGCGTGGGCGCTTTCCCTCGACGAGACTGCCGTCTCCGTCTACACGCCAATGCCAACCTCGTGCAGTAACCACTCAAGCCCGTCTTCCCTCTCTTCATCTGGATTGCGTAGAACCATAAAAAAGAAGCCGTTGGGTTTGAAGCCAAGTAAGTCATCTTTTTTTGAAGATTCCACGAACGCCATATTCTCGCCGCCGAAGCACCACTGCCTGAATAAAATCGAACTTTTCGACCTTTCCGGCGATGTGTTGTGGGTGAATTCGACGTGTGTGATGTACACCGTGCTGGATGAAAAACTACGGCCACATCAAATCATTTTTCACGATACTGCGGCAAACCCTACCAATCCTAACTCCAGCTGGATTTGCTATGAAGAAGAGGACGAGGCGTTCTGGTTGGATTCTCTAAGCTTCACCGCGGATGATCGCTATCTTGTCTTTGACAGCTCCTCTACCGAGATCTCAAATTGGTTTGTTTGCCCGACGGAAAGCGTGTTGATAACCTTCTCGACTGCCAATGCCGGTGGTTATAAGGAAAGGCGAAGAGGGGCGGTGTTGAAGGTACCTTTTTTCTCCAAAGAAATGGAGCGTATGGAACGTCATGTACGACAAATAAGCATCGAGCTCAGGGAAGCAGCTTTGACGATGGAATTAATCGCGGACAACGCTCATTTTGTAGAGCACTGCGCACCGACGGCACGTTTTCCTGTAAATAGTAAAACACCTGTTGAGTTTGATCTCGAACATAATGAACAGCTTCTAGGAAAATCAGGAAACGCTGGGGCGTGGATTATGATTTCGAACGCCCGCAACTGCACAAACTTTGCGATATTTTTCCTCCCCGACGAGAATGCAACTTTTGATTGGGAAATATCATGTTCAATGATACCGGGGACGGAAGATATTAAAACCATTTCCGATGCTTCGAAGAAAAAGTCTACAAACCCCGAGACGTTTGCAGACGAAAAGAAGTGTATGGGGTCGGATACCTGGCCGTTGCTCTTTGAGTACGACTCTAACACAAAGGTTGAATCAGTGTCGTCTTTCAGCGATTTTTTACTTATCACGGTTTCTCGTAATGCGTCATTGGAGGTTTTCTTTTGCCCTCTGCATCTTATTTGGGATTGGTGGGCTCACGCTTATCCTCCTGAGGATGCGCAAAAGGTCCCATCTAATAGTTCAATTGTCGAGAGGTCGGTTGAGGTCTCACCTTTAGAAATAAAAAAGACCCGTGAAATCCGAACTTTCCCCCCACCCCTTAGTCTAAGCAGGACCATTTCCCTATCGAACCTCTTGAGACGAGAATTCAATTCTGTGAAGGATAACGAATGGCTTCGTTTTGACGTCCACGACGAGCTCATGAGCGCGATGAAACCCGCCTTTGTCAATTTCGATTCCTTTCTCATGGCCGCACCTACCGGTATCGCAGCTGCGATGGCGGACGGGGATTCCCCCTCCCAAGAAACAACCAAGGCGTTTTGCTTTCCACCGTCGTTATTCTTTGCGCACTTTCAGAACGGATGCCTCCCCGAGGAAGGAGGGGCGAGCGGTCTTGGCCTTCCTCAGGGCGCCCTACCTTTTTCTTTTCAACCACGGCAGGGGGTTTCGACCGCCGCTTTTCCGCAATCAGACTTCTACGTAAGCCCTCTGCTGGACAGCTCGGAGAGCAGCACGACCCACGCCGATTTCATCGCGCAGACCTTCACGTTGTCGGTATCGCATCTATTGCGGCCGACCATTCATTATCAGTGGAAGTACATTTCTCCACACGGGAGGTCTGGCGACCACATCGAGACTAACAATCGTGAAAGCCACGGGGAAAAGGGAAGTCTTTTGGTGAAAATTCTACGAAAAGAGGTCGTGCGAGGGCGATCCTATAACCCATCCGAGTATAACGGCTTTGTGTTGTGGGTGCCTTCGGAGTACGCCTTTGTGAACAGCTCTGGGTGTGGGGCACTGATGCCGGTTCCAACAAAAGATCCTTCCGAGACGACTTTTCTGCCTGTGTTTACAATTTGGAAGAAAGATCTCTTTCACTGGGGCAGGAATAGCGCTCTTTTAAATGTTTACGGATCCTACGGCGACAGCTTTGAATCGGATTTTTTACCGGAGCGGCTTGTTTTGTTGGATCGTGGCTTCGTATGGGCCTATGCCGCGGTGCGAGGGGGCGGTGAACTTGGCATTCCATGGCGTAATGCCGGCCGAAAGCTCCAGCGCGCGACTTCCGTAAATGACTTTATTAGCATTTCGAGCTTTCTGATGGACGTTGGGTTGTGCGCGAGGGGTTTTTTGGCGTCGTCGGGGTCCTCCGCAGGGGGGATGATAGTCTGTCGGGCCATGAACGCCGCTCCGGATCTATACCTCTCTGTGGTCTCTACAGTTCCTTTTGTGGACTGCCTTGCGACCCTTCTCGACGATTCCCTTCCTCTTACCCTAACAGAACGAGAGGAATTTGGGGATCCGACCACCGACGAGACGGCGTTTGAGCTCATTCACGGGATCTCCCCGGTTTTGACGGTCCCCTCACGGGCCACATCGCCGAATTTGCTGTTGGAGACCAGCCTCGAGGATACGCGGGTGGGGTTTTGGGAGCCGATGAAGCTCGCCGCGATGGTGCGCTCGCGGATGCGCCACGGCGAATCCGTCCGCCGCATTGTCGTGCTCTTCTGCCATCCCAACGCCGGCCATGGCGGGGCAAGCGGGCGTTATGAGCGCATTAAAGAAATCGCAAGGGAGTTCACCTTCGTGATCGACGCGGCAAAGCGAGAGCGCGGAGATTGGAATCTCGAATAATTTTCAAAAGACAGGCGCGCCTACATGGGAGAAAAAGGCTTCAGAGGGAATAGAAACGGAAAAAAAAATGAACCGATTGGATGTTGAGTTCATTGTCTTCTTCACTTGCTCTGGTAACCTGCCCGGCGTTGAATTTAGACGGTTATAGTGAATGCTAGGGCGGCTTCTGATAAACAGTATCATGCTTCCTACAAAAACAATGATGATTATGGACGGCCCTTGAATCGGTGTATTCTTAGAAGCATGCTATTTATAATAGTCCAAATGCCAGAAAAGACAAGTCCACGATAAATTAATAATACTAACTGGGCAACACACCTTTTTTGAGACCTTCAAGTGGAACCCCAAATCTATTCCACCCAATTTACCCATTCCTTCTCTTTACATGATGCGATAAACGATGCCACTTGCTTTAATTACTTCATTGTATTTGTCTGTTTGCACAACTATTGAAAAGCAAAAATAGGTTATACAATGCCCTAGGGGTTTACTATAACGACTACAATAGGAGACAGCTAAAAGAGGATAGGACTTTTGTTTACAAACACACACATATATATATATAATATCGCATATTAGGTTTTGTGATTGGTGTATTAAGGGTTATTAAACCTCATGACCTATCGCCCCCCGATCAATCGGTTGACCGATATCCTCAAGCGCAACAACCCGCAGGTCCTCGAGCGCCATGCCGTGGACTTCCACAGAGCCCTCACCGCCCTCCCGCCCGAGGCCAACCACGGCCGGTTCGTTCGCAATCACGTCCTGATCAACCCCAAGGCCCTGCACGTGCTCTGTGAGGAGGAGGTGCTGGGGCGTTATCAGGCCTTTGCGGTGTACAAACCCCCTTTTTGCCCCATGCGCCGCCGCGACGCCGCCGGGAACTTCCACAACGTCGCCGTCGAGTCCTTCATCGCGGCCGCGCTGAAATCCCAACTCGTTCACCCCGTTCTTCGCCGCAGTTTACGCCAGGGCGAGGTGAGGGTCCGCGTGCTGAATGACTTGGACAGCTTCGCGTCCGGCCCGGTTGCCGTGAGCGTCTCAGATGCCTGCCCTTTTAACACCTCGTTGGAGCGGTGCGTGATGAATTATGACGTGCTCGTCCGGGGGCATCTCTCTTTTCCCCGCGGCGAGCGGCAATCGATCACACCATCGCTTCTCTACCCCGATTTTTCGCCTTCCGCGCAGGCGACGGCGGTGCGGGGGCCAACGTGTACCTTCGAAGTTCGACGAAACGCGTACTACAGCGTCCATCCCGTGACACTTCTTGAGGTTAAAATTATCGCGCCACCGTCCGCTCGGGCGCCTTGCATCGAGGGGTTTGTAAAACACCAACTCGGAACCTTTGTTATTGGGGATCCGACGGCGTTTGAAGATTCCGCGCAATCACCGGTGGCCGATGGGGGTAAAGAGTCTATAAGCCATGAAAAGAAGCCTAGCGATGCTCAGCCGAAACGGGATTTTAATCCCTTGTTCTCCAATTTCTTCCAGCCGTCGGTGATTCCCATGAGAGGGGATTGTGATTTTCCGCGTGTGTTTATGCATCTTCGAGAGATTCACTTCTCTGTGGATGAGTTAGACGTTTCTGGGAACACGATCGGTAGTAGAGATATCAATTTTCACTGTTGGAATTGTTTTGAGCCCATCATTAGGGATCTTAGTCATAATATGTTAAAAAATACGCGTATCAATTTGCTTGATGGTTCTTGGACTCCTTCGTTGGAGTTCCTGAATTAGTCATCAAACCAAATTTATTTATATATATAATAAATTTTACATACGTCTATTTTTGGCGAAATTGGCATTTTTTTTTCAAAAAAAACCGCCTATACATTTCTAGTGGCGTTCTCTTAGGATGTGTCGATGAAGCTGGGCAATCAAAAGGAACAGATTTTGTCAGATCGCTTCAGCTAATCAGGTTTAAACGCGAATGAGAGAATAATAAATTTAGAATTCTGCATTACTTTTTTCTGGAGAGTTAAAGCAAGGGCTGTATAGTGAATATTTTAACTCCCACACATTAACTTTACTGTTTCCACCTTCGACCTTTTATGATTGTCTGCTGCTAACTTACTTACATCTTGGCTATTTCTTTTGATACATATTATCAAATTATCTATAGTTACATATACGCACATATATACAAAAAAAAAAGAGTGTTTATATCAACAATATTAAAAACAGATGCACCAAAGGAGGGAAAATATATAGCATTAAAGGACTCCATATACAGGCTGCTAAGGTATTTTCTAAAAATCCTTTTCTTTTTCTAGTAGTAAATCACATGAAATGCCGCCAAAGGAGAATAAGATAAAAAGGGCTTCCTCTCGACCATCATCTCTCGGGACGGCAACGCTTACAGATTTGTCTCGCAAACAGAACTCGTCACCACAAAGAAGAAGTTTGGTAACAACAAATCTCAAACCTAGCTCTAAAAAAAAGGTGAACAGGCCGACGGAAGGAAATCGCACGAACAGTAGCTCAGGCTCTTCAAAAGAGTTACCTTTTTCGTTCCCACCCAAAGAAGGGAAGGAGCGGAATCGCTCAGAGCAGACCCCCAAGGAAGTTGATGGTATCTCAGGTGGCGATGACCAAAATCCATCTCGTCCACGCGCTCTCGAGACGCTGACGGATCGCCTAACGAAATCTCTCGCAGGTTTACAAAATAACCTCGATGGGATGAAGGAGCGCATAAAGGTGTTGGAAGAGCAAAAAAACGTTGTCGAATCCGTAGGATGGAGTGTGAATGCCTCCAAGGAAAAGTGGTCCCAAAATCATGATCTTACTCGCATTAGACAAGAGAGGGTACAACTGGAGAATGAAATCGAAAAAACGAACCGCACCATTCAAAATTTGCTTGCTTTATCCGATCGCCTTGAGGAGATCCATCAGCATCAGCTGAAAAACCTCACCAGTTCAAGGCAAAAACTTGAGCTGGAGATCAAAAACCTGGAATTAGAAAAGCAGATGAACGCGTCGATCATTCGCGAGGGATTTGTGAAACGGATTCACTTGCTTCATCGATATTGGCCCTGGCGACAACTCGTCGAGCTCGGCAGTACAAATGTAGGGGCAACTTTCGAGGAGGAGCTCAAGCGAGGCCCGCGCTACCGTCACGTGGGTGTGCAAAACAACATTCGAATTGATTATCTTGGGCAACATATCAAATGGTTAGAAACCCTTAAATCGAGCGAAAATGCGTTTCAAAATCGGATCTGGCAACTCGAAAAATTCGTTGAGGATCTTTACGATATCAATAGTATGATTGAAGACTCGCTTTCGTGCAAAGTGTGCGGGTTGCTATACGATGAGCCCGTTATTTTCTGGCCATGCGGACATTCCTTTTGTTATGACTGTTTTGGGTCCTTAGCGATCGCTCCAAGCCTTTACCGCTGCTCGGTCTGTGGTAGTATCGATAGTGAAGGATTTCTGCATAACTTGCTTTTAGCAGATACTGTGGCGAAGTGGATGTTTAAGGATCTAGGTTTTAACAGCATCCAGACACCTCTTAGTGGTGTTCGTATTCATCTCTCGCGCTTACAAAGATTTAACACTGATACCAAGCTAGCCAAACTGAAAGAACTTCTGAAGCAACAATTTTTAAAGACAAGCAAAAATGGCGCGTCTGATAACGACTCTATTACGATTTCATATCGGATGTACTAATAAAAAAAGGTAGCAGAAATATATAGCTAGGTGATCATAGGTAAATCGTGAATTTATTCTGTAAACTGATCTAGGTTGAAATTTCACGCTTTTTTCACGATCACTGAATGTACATTATCATCAATATTATCATCTAAAACAAGCGTATTATAAATATAGAGATAATCCCTTTGAACCTTGCAATGAATTTTTGTCTATGCATTGTTGTATTATACATATAAAGCCCTTAGTGATTTTTTTATAAACTTTAGCTCTAAACATATTTTCCGGTGTTATTACTAACACCATTTTTTGTTTTTGTAGCTCTTTGTCAACGTTCTGATTGTTATTATCAAGACTATAAAGTGCTTATAGAATGCATGTAGGTCAGGAAATTGACGAAATGGCGGAGCGGTCCCTGGACAAGGCACGAATACGCCAGAAAAAATGGCTTCAACGCCAGGAGAGATCCAAGCTAACGCGAGAGGAAATTGACCTCCTTAAGCTCAAACGGACTGACCTACGCCGAAAGCTTGACGATCGCGAGGCCGCGGGTGAGACCAACATGATGGAAAGCGCGGAAGACACCTACACACATTTTAGTGATCTGCCCATTTCTCAGCGTACGATACTAGGGCTCGAGCGTGGAAATTATAAGAAATTAACACCCATTCAGCGCGATGCGCTTCACCTCGCCTTGGCAGGGTATGATGTGCTCGGCGCCGCCAAAACTGGCTCCGGTAAGACCCTCTGCTTTGTCATTCCCGTTTTAGAGCAGCTTCTAGTGGAGCACTGGGATTCGGATATGGGCGTTGGGGCGATCATCCTGACCCCCACGCGCGAGCTCGCGCTGCAGATCTTCAAAGTGATGCAAGTCGTCGGATTTAAGCACGTCTTCTCGGTCGCCCTGCTGACCGGTGGCCGAGACGTCGCGGAGGAGCGCAAGCGGCTTCAGCTGATCAGCATCATCATCGGCACCCCCGGCCGTGTGCTGCACCACCTGCAGGACAACCCGCACCTCACGCTGGACAACCTCCAGATCCTCTGCATGGACGAGGCCGATCGTCTGCTGGACCTCGGCTTCCGTGAGGCGATCTCGTCCATCCTGCGCTACCTCCCGCGGGGGCGCCAGACCCTGCTGTTCTCCGCCACCCAAACGCGCGAGGTGGGGGTGCTGGGGGAGCTCGCCCTGCGGGCCCCGCGCTACGTCGCCGCGCACGCCCTCACCAGCGCCCCGACCCCATCCCGCCTGTGTCAGAACTTCCTCGTGCTGGGTCTGGCCCGCAAGCCGGACGTCCTGCTTGCCTTCCTGCGGCGCCACCCGCGGGACAAGGTCGTCGTCTTCGTGAGCACGTGCAACCAGGTCCGCTTCCTCTACCTCGCCTTCGCGAAGCTGCTCAAGAAGATGCGGATCCCGTCCATGTCCTTAACAAGCCGGATGCGGCAGTTCCGCCGGGATGAGGTCTTTAAGACGTTCTGCCGATGTAAGGCCGCGGTGCTGTTCTGCACGGATGTAGCGGCCCGGGGGTTGGACTTCCCGCTTGTTCATTGGGTCCTCCACTACGACTGCCCGGAGAGCGCGCAGACCTATATCCATCGCGCCGGACGAACCGCCCGCGCGGGCGCCCGCGGTGTGAGTTTGCTCTTTCTCACCCCTAACGAAATCCCGATGCTGTCGTACCTGGCGAATAAACAGATCCCCATGCGGGAGATCACCCTAAAGCCAGGGTTGGTCTATTCCTCACAGGAAATCTTCGTCGCCTTGGTCGTGCAGGGGTTGAAGTACGAAGCGCAAAAGGCCTTCATCGCTTACCTCCGTTCCGTCGCCTTTGCGAGCAATAAGCACGTTTTTGATGTGAAGTCCATCGACGTGGAGTCCTTTTCAAAGTCCCTCGGCCTTCTGAAGGTGCCGGACATGTCTGAGCTCGGGAACCTCCAGCGGAGCATGAAGAATCTACCCTGGGATGTCGTTAATTACATCTCTGAGAAGTCAGGGAAGCACCCAGGCACATCGCATGATGCCGTGGATGAAAAGCAGGCGGCGCTCACGAAGAAAGAACGCCGCCTCCAGTCTTCCGACATGTTTCGTGTGTTGGAGCAAAAACAACGATACACCACAGCTCAAAACACGCTTGGGGATGCAACTGAAAAAGATGATGACGACGATGCTTTTCTGGTCAAGAAGACTAAGGAGGTTGAGGAAGTTGAACAGGTAAAGGAAAAGATGCAGCTCACGGCGGACGAACGACTTGCCGGGCTTTCCAAGGTGAAGCGTCGCAAGTTTATTGAGAATCCTGACGTGCGGATAAAAGATTTAGCTCTGAACACTCGGATTGTCTTTCAGAACAGCGACGAGGATGAGGAGGAGGACTCGGATCACTCCCAAGGGCGTGTCGAAAACGCCGTTTTCCTTCCTCAAGATTCTTCATACGATGCGAAGGAGGATGAGATGGATGACGAAGATGACTTCACCAAACGCATTCAGCAGCGTGTTTTAGCACACAAAGAAGACGACGCGGGGCGCGCGAAACAGGTACGCCATTTACGTCGACTTCAGCGAATCGGCAAAATATCGCGAAACATAACGTTGGAGAAGTGTGGTTTAGAAAGTGAAGGAAACCGAAAAGACGAAATGGAAATGAGCAGCAACGACGGTAGTTCCCAACAAAGCGGCTCATCCGCCTCGATGGGTCAGTTTTACAACTCCAACGAATACGCTTCGGAGGAGGAAGGTTCATCAGACGGTGATTCACGGGCTGTTGTGGGGAAGCGACGAGGGCGTCAGGAAGTTTACAACGGTAGCGAAAGCGAGGATGATGGTAAAATGCAAAGAGACGCGCATCATGATGACCACAATGGACGGAAAGACGTACGACCTGCGAAGAAGAAGCGGATGTAATGGTTATGTCTGATGAAAGACAACCAAAACGGATGCATAGTTAGCAATAGTGAGTAAACTACAAAGAACATGGTGGAAATCTGTATTATAACAGAAATGACAATGACAGTGCCTTTTTACATCCTTTGACTGAACCGTTGTTCTACAGTGTGTAGGTGTTGTGTGGAAAATTACATTTCTTGAACTAAGTCCCAAATTAACAGACCATTAAAGGTAACCCTACCAAAAAGGATTAAATGGAATATTTGGTTAATTATAAACGTTTAAATAGTCGATCGTAATCACGGCTAATAGCCGGAAAAGCAGTAGCGCACATGAGAATTTCGATGGCACATTTTTGTGGTATGGGAGCTCATGTGCCTTATTTTATTTAATACTGTTCTTGCTTTACCACGGCGTTCTAATCGACGCGATGCATAAGATCTTTTTATTGCCACTCACCATTTTCATCTCCAGTTTTATTAATACAACGTTTAGTAGGCCCAACGCCAACGCCATTAAGAATTCGCCGACATGCTTCGTCGATCATTTATCTTCCACAAAGTCAGTCGCGTATGGCCTAAAGGATCCACCAGTGCGGCGGTCTCACACTTTCCTGAGGGTCACTACCGCAGTCCTTCCATGGTGGACCCCGCCGCGCTGCGCGGCTCCGACACCTCGGCAAAGGAGCAACGTGTTTGGAACCTCGCGGGGGAGGCCTGGGGGAGCAGCTGGCCGCGGTATTTCACCCCGCCCGCGTTCCTCACCAACCGCTTCCACCATTCAATCAATCGGATCAAAGTTTACGCCAATCTCATTCGGTTTGACCGGCCGCAGGGCTGGATGCTGCTGGTGTTGCCCTGCTATTGGGGCTCCTCCTTGGCGGTCACGCAGGCGATGGTGTGGGAGGGCGCGGACCCGCTGGTGCTCTTCGCCCCTTTCATCCCATTGCACACCGCATTTTCCCTTTTGGCCGGGGCCTACCTCATGCGGAGTGCGGGGTGCATCGTGAATGATATGTGGGATCACGAGATTGATAAGAACGTCGCCCGCACGAAGGGACGGCCCCTCGCCAGCGGGGAGGCCTCCTTTAAGGAGGCTTTTTGCCTTATCCTCGCGCACGTCGCCGTAGCGGGGGTGGTGGGGATGAATTTACCCCCTGCCGCGTTCGCTGTGGCCTTGGCGGCCACCCCGATCGCGATTATTTATCCCTTTATGAAGCGCATTACGTATTTACCGCAGTTGGTGCTCGGATTGTGTTTTAATTTGGGAATCTTTGTAGGCTACGCAGCGGTTCTGGGAAGGGTGGACGTGGCCGTGTGTTTGCCCGCTTATATCGGCGGGGTGATCTGGACCGTTTTGTACGACACCATATATGCTTACCAAGACCGCGATGACGATATCAAAACGGGGGTGAAGAGTTTAGCGGTGTGGATTGGTGATCAGAAGTACATCCTACATGCGATGCTGATGCCCATCGCGGCATGCTTCCTGATCTCAGGGTTTATGGTCTCTCAGTCGTTACCCTACTATATCGGTGTGATGATCTGCATGTACTATTTACACGTCACCCTCGATAACGTCAATATCTTTGATAGGTGGTCCTGCGCGCAGTTTTTCAAACACAACGTCCGATTTGCTTTGTACATTTTTTTTGTGATGTGCCTCGGCAACTTGCTCTGGGCTTTCGCCTCCGAGCACGAGATGGATAAAGACGACAAAACGAACACGCTCAAGGCGGATTCGCCTCTATCACGCTTTCTTTTCCTTGAGCAAAAGACGCAGCCACTCTTGTATAATGCCGAAAACTTTAATTGGTTTGACCGTATGATACATCCTGCGTTTGTTCAGGCGGAAATCGCCAAGAGCTCGGGATCGACTGAACCGCCGCCAATTCCGGCGTGGATGCGGCGTGAGCACATTAGTGATAATATGGCCATTTTCATGCGCTTTTGTGGTGTTTCCGAAGAGAAAATAGCTGAAGTACAAAAATGGTGGTACTCTAATTTGGATCAATACAACATGTTTTCAAAGCTGCAGATTTAGATGGGTAAATCCCCAACACCTGAGTATAATATGATATTAACAATCCCATTCTTCTCTCATGAATGTTTTAGTTTGAATGCCCGTGCTCTAATAATGGAAAGCATAAAAAATACATTCAGTAACCTTTGATACATTTATCGTTTACTTTTACCATTTACTGAAGCGTGAACTTCGAAATGATTACTCGTTTGCTATTCACCTTGCAGATTTTGGATTTTGTCTAAATTTATTTATGAATGTGTGGTAGTGGGAAAGGAAAGAAATAGGTTATTTTTAGCAAAAGATTAGGTTATGTGCATTTTTACTGTACTCTTATTAAGGCCCACGTTTTGTCACTATTACCACTTGATGTTTGTAACTTGACAGCATTCTTCACTCGGTAAAAGCCTTGAGGGTGGGCCTTCAAAATTCGATAAATGCGAGGTAAGAATTTACAATCAAATATTCTGTTTTAGTGACAACTCCAATTTTTTATTTACACCAAAAACTATTCATAGAAAAATGGAATATTTCTGTTATTAATATTAAGGTATACACATTCGGTAAAATTTTATTATGTCTGAATTTTCGATCTAAATTATGGCATTGACTTTTTAGTTGGTGCCTTGAATAACTTTCCTATGACATAGTTGGATAAGGAGTTGTGTGCCATGATCTTTCACATTTCTTTCTAATGATGCATTCTTAGTAAAAGGCTCCAATTGTTTGGGACATGCATTTCTCACTTAGGATTATCTGGTTTATTTTCATGAAGTCAGATAAAAATTATATTCTTTTTCTTTTACCCTTTTGATTTCTTTCTTTTTTTCCTTTTCTTTCCATAGTTCCCAGACCAAGAAGGGGGAACAATTAAAACTGGCACCACTTTGCCATTTCGATATTCTTACAGCTTCTTAAAAATTTTTTTTTCATATACACACACGGTAGTTTTGGACATTTCCCAGTGTAATGTTACATCTTCGCGAGCTCAACTTCCCTGTTGTCCTATCCCCTCCCTCCCATCGCCTCAAGTGGGTGAATGTGCGAAAGGATGAAAATCCTTACAAACTCGTTGCCATTGATATGGACGGGACGCTTTTGAACGAGAAGCATAGTGTTTCCGACTACACCCGACGTGTACTCTCCCAGCTCCTCGCCCGCGGCGTCCACGTCGTCTTCGCCACCGGGCGCCCCTTCACCGACGTCTACCACATCAAACGTAAGTTGAACATCTTCGCCTCGATGCAAAGCATCGCGACGCCGGGGGTGCAGGTGTTGACGCCGTCGGTGTGTTCGCCGGATATTGAAATAACCTCGCCCAATCTCGATTTGGACAACCACACCCCGATGGACTACCTCGTCCCGCGCTGCTTCGCCATCACCTCGAACGGCGCATGTATCTACGACGAGACCAATCATCTGGTTCGGGAATGTTGTATTCATCCTCAGATCTGCCACGAGCTGTATTCAATGTTTATTGATGATCCCGAGGTTAACATTAATGTTTTTCGTCGTCGTGATAACAGCAAGGATTTCGGTAAGTCTTCCTCGAGTTTAAGCGACTCAACGGGGGAAGAGTCAAGCGAAGAGTGGGTAAGTCGATACCCGAGCGACCTCGAGGCTGCGATCTATCACGAATCCAATTTTACCTTCCGTGTCGTGCCAAATCTTGAGCGCGACTTCCCTACAGACAACGTGAATGAAATTTTTTTTCTTTGTTATAATACCGAAAAGACATCTCCTGTAGAGGAGACGATTATCGCTCGTATGAAAAGAATTCAGGAAGAACTTCACCTTGAAGATACCGTCCGAGTCGCGCCCTCAGCACAGCATTGTCTAGACATTGTTCCCGCAAATGTTAGCAAAGCCTCCGCGCTTGAGTTTGTTGTTGAACAGCTTGGGATCACCATGGAGAATTGTATTGCCTTTGGGGATGGCTTAAACGATGTGGAATTGCTGCAGTCTGTTGGAAAGGCCTACATTATGGAAAACGCAAATCCACGCCTAAAAAAAATGCTACCTTATCTTGAAGTCATCGGAGGGAACAATGATGATGCCGTTGCGAAGAAGCTGTCTGAAATATTCGAATTAAATTAATATACTTCATTTTTATTAAAGGGAGTCAAAAAATGAACACCTTGACAAAATTAGCAGTGTTAATACAAATTAGCCTCTACTCTGATGCCACTTTAGCAAGTAATGCTAAATAAAAAATCTTTTATTTATTGAAAATTAGCACGGATGTAGTCTAGTATGTGTTTCTTATAGGATCAATAATGGTAAATATATTAGTATTTGACCCTTTGTGCACATATGTATCTTCAAAAGGGAAGTTAATAGTACGATAATGATGATGAATGACTATTTATATCAATACTCGTTTGTACGCGTCTTTTTCCCTTTAGGTCTCAGAAAAAAATACATTTGTATTGCAATAAAATTTATCAAAAAGAAGAGGTTTCCGAAAATATGTTTGGCTTTAAAAGGAAAATGTTGCTTTCTAAGAAGTAATATATATGCATTTTTATTTTAATCGTAGCTTAACATTGGTATGTGGTATTTTCCCTTCAATATATAAGGAGAAACAAGAGGCAAGTTATTAATTCCAAAATCTACCATTTCTTCACCTTTTATATTTATCCTTCTTATTATATATATATATATATATATAATTGAGCTTTGTAGCAGTTTTTCATCTCTTATCATTATTTTCATGTCCGAAAATTCGTCACCCTTTTCGTTGGTGGCCTCCGACTTGGATGGCACGCTATTCGATTTTGACTGTAAAATAACCGACTACACAAAAAAGTTGATTTTTCGTCTTTCCCATGAGAAAAACATTCGGTTTGTATTGGCAACGGGACGCCATTGGGGGAGCACCCTGTCCACCCAGAAGGATCTTCAGCAGTACTTCGAGCGGGCCTATGCGGATTTGGCCGACTCGCAGGGTGGCAAGACGCTTTCGGGAAAGAAGCATGGTTTCTATGTGGTCTCCTCCAATGGGGGGTTGGTGCATGATGAGGATGGCAAGATAGTTGTGGAGCATCAGCTCGACCCGGCGATTGTGAAGGAGCTCTACCAATCCTTTGCGTTACCTTACACGGATTTGAAGCGTGGGGTGAATCTAACGGATGAGGAAAAGGCCCGTCAGGTGGTGGTGCCCCAGGCGGAAATGCCAGCGAGGGACGGAGCTGTAGAAAATGAATGGGATAAGGGTGAAGGGGGGTTGAATGAGGATCCGAATGAGTTTTCGATTGAAAAGGTGCGCGTTTCTGCGTACACGAACAAGGAATGGCTTATCACTTCTAGCTTCCTTCCGGAGGAGTTAATGGTGAAAAAATTTGGATTACTTCCAATTGTCATCGACTTCGATCCAGAAGACCCATCCAATGAGGGTAAGAGTGTTCTGGACTCGTTGCCACTAGAGGGGATTAACAAAATATGCTTTCGCAGCGCAGACCGTGCTCTTTTGAGTTCGTTTGAGCAGGAGCTCTCCCAGAGATTTGGGGATCAAATCTCTATAGCGCTTTCCTCTAACTTTTGCTTAGATGTTGGTCCTGGTGGCATTTCGAAATTCTCGGCGTTGCGCGAAATCGCCGGTCACCTCGGCATTAGCGTGCAGAGTATGGTAAGCTTTGGCGATAGTATGAATGATAAGGAAATGCTGGAAAACGTCGGAAAGGGCTTTGTGATGGGCAATGCGCAGGCTCGTCTAAAAAAACTACTACCGCACTGTACTGTCATTGGGAATAATAATGAAGATGCCGTGGCAAAAAAACTTGAAGAAGTGTTTAATATGGTAGAAACTCCAACAACTATAACAAACATTAATAAATAAATCTAATGATAATTTTACTGGGTTAATATTCATGGAATCGCTAAACATCACTTGAGGTTCCTGAACTCTCTCCTTGCAGAGTGTTTTGTGTGTCATCGTGAAAATGAATGAAATAATCTATGCATTAACACGTTCTGAATACGTAAAAAATTGACAACAGAAAATGGAAACTCTACATAGGCAACGTTACTATGGACTTGAGATCTTCTTGGTGAAGATTATAAGTTCAGGTTTATATAATATATAACAATGATACTTAATGTGAAAATGATCTATTAATACTTTTGTCCTAGTAGGGGTTTTAAATAATAAAAAAAACGATTAAATTGTATATAAAGAACTATACAGGACAACATTGCTGATATTTTTGTATTGTTATCATTCTTACCCTTTTTCTTTTTTTTGGATTATATCTAGCAGGCGAACATTTATTAGTTTGACTGAATAACTCTTAGGCAAGTCTATCTCAAGATATAATTTCTTGTAGAGAGTGGTGAAGGCTGTGTGGTTCTACAACTTTTATATACTTCAATATTGAACTACCTTTTTATCTATAGATTACATGAATTCTCCAGCTAGACCCCACAGAGCGGCTCAGGACCATCATTTAAATAGAAACAATAATTATTCAGATACCTCCTACTCCAGTTCAGACTTGTGTAGTGCACCAATCCCCGTGAATCGACCACTGCCTTTTCCATTGAATGGACAGCAGCAGTCTGGGCAAAACGAACACGAAAATATCCCCGTAACGGGTTCCGGATTGGATCATTATTCAAACAGGAGGGGCATTGAAATGAGGGGGAAACCTGATGTCGAGAGAATAAGATCTGGATCCTGGGCCATTGTACAGAATTTTATGGCCAATTTTTTTGATATAGAAGCTTCAGATGTTCAACGCATCACAAGTTATATTTTCTTCATTTTCTCTTTTGTTAATTTTATCTTCCTAATTATCTCGTGCTCACGTTCACAGGTCGACGGATTGTATAATTCGTGTATGACTTTCTGGGGATATAAATCGAACTGCGATACAACCAGTTATACAATTGATGTTGACTTACTCAAATGCAAAAATGAACGACGGTGGATGAAATTTGGCGCTGCTTTTTCTATACTAGCTATCATTTTTTCGGCAGCATTATGGTTTATGAGCTGGATTTTATGCTGTTGGGTACACTCTCAGAAACTAAAAAGTATGCGTTCAGCCCATAAAGAAGGTCATGGAGAAAGAGTCCCTTTGGTGAATTTAGGAAAAACGAGATGGTATATCATCGGCATCTTAATTACTATTATATTGTTTGAATTTATTGCATGGGTCACAATTACAAGCATCCGTGAGGGCGGTTTATGCGTTGAAGTACTTGGGGGCAAACAAACTTCCGGCGTAGGGTTTGATCTGGGTCTTATTGCATGGACCTTAGAAATGCTCCTATTACTTTCTATAGTCTTATTAATATAAGGGGAGGCCTTTGGAAATATTATTACAACAAATTTACATGTGCTTCTACAAATACACTAATCGCATGAATTCGCATATGCAGTCTCCTGGCTTCCATTATAGCTATTCAAGGAAAAGAAACACTTTATTGGTTCCTTTTAACGTACATCTATATACATGAGTTCGTGTTTAGCTTGACTTGCATTAAGCGAAGTAATGTAAAACAGCAACTTCTCTTTTCGTACAGAAGCTTTTTTTAATGATTGCTTAACTATGCGCGTATGAATCTGTTTTCAAATCTATTATTCTTCGCTTTTCTATAAAATACTGATAGTAATAATATCATTATTAAAATAAAAAACTTCTACTTTAAAGAGGCACCTTTTTCTCATGTAACTACACATTGTACTTATAAATATACAGGAACATTTTTTAATAAACTGTGACATTATTTTCACGAATAGTGATAACCTATTTTTAACCAAATATATTGAAATGATTGTATTATTAATTTTCTATTATTTGTTGTAATTTATAGATCAAAAAATATAATATTCACATTATGGATAACGAAATTAGATATTTTCTAATTCTCATTAGATCCTTTTTCTTCCAATTTTTTTTTGAGGAAATTATAGATTCCTTTTTCAAATGAATAAATCAGAATCGAAGAATACACCTGGGAGGCTGTTTGACAGCATCCTATCTGATGATGATGATTTTAGAACAAGCTCTTCGTATACCCACAGCTCAAAGAGCAACACACATATGAATAATGCCCCTGAGCAGAAACTTAATGTAAAACAAAATTCGAATATAAATGACGACACCAGCTCACCTAAGCAACCATTAAATAGACACAAAGACCTATATTCTTCCGAAATGCTACCCGGGTTATTGCCACTGAAACAATCAGAGACTACCACCGCTAATGTTTCTACCGATTTTCCACCACCAGAACCTGTTAAAATAGAAAAACTGGTATTTATAACTGATGATCATATGGGGATCTCTACCGTGGATGCACTACCCAATCAAACTACTGATCCAGTCTCACAGCACTCTGAATTGGTAAGTGATGAAACGCTTTTCAAGGGAATATGTTTAGATATCCATTCCCCAAACGTTGTGAGCTCCAAGGTCTTGCCTATGCCGGAAAACCCAAGTGAACCTCCTAAGCTTAAAGAGGAGTCGAACTGCAATTTGAGGGATAGCGTCGCTCACGATAGCAACGTGCCGGTTTTGAGCCCACCCGTGGAAAATGATTTCCACAACATCCAACACAATGTTGTGTGTGGGGAAAGGAGTATTGACAACCTCGGAAAATTACGGGAACATCGCTTGGCGCCCAATCCCGCTTTACATTCTCTTGACCTTCTTCAACAGCGTCGATATGAAGATCTGGCGCTGCAACACAGCCTATCCCAACCTCAGAACAACATTGAAAGGGGGTATTCTAATTTTGGTAACTCCATCTATTTTTCGGCGTATATTTTCCCGCGCTTGGACGCGTCTCTGGTGAATCCCAAAACACAGTTTACGCGTGAAAATCCACCCCCAAACTGCGTAGAATTATGTCTTGGCTTTCTGTTGAGAGCTGACCCCCGTTTGATGGTTTACTTTGCGTTTCTCCTGGTTTCCATGCTCTTAACTGTTATTTCTCAGTTTACTCCTCAAATCATTAGCATCAATGATAACTGCTACACCTATTGGGGATATAAGAAGAACTGTGAGCATACTAGCTTCACGGTGCCGGTGTTGCTGATCGAAAATAGAAGTGTCAAAAATTTACTATTTGTTGGTGGTATATTTTCAATCATTGCGTTGATTCTTTATTTAATAGCACTCATCGCTGTATGGGTGTATATCTTTTGTATTGACGATCCGTTACGGGATATGCCAAAAATTCTTCGATGGAGAATAGGTTGCTTCGGGTTTGCAGCCTTTATATTTCATTTTGTTTCATTCATACTCATCATAGGTCTTTATGCTCAAGAATTCACTTTGAAGGAGACCGATGACTCATCCCTTGGCCTGGGCTTTGATTTATCCTTGGTGACATCTCTTTTGCATTCGCTAGGGTTAATTTTATTTATCTTTGTACCATATTCTAAAATACCTTTCGTATAGAATCCTTTGAGACAAACTTTAGCGTCGTTCATATGGCACATGAATATAGTAGGTAGGTATCATAGAAATCGTTTAGGTTTTCTAGTTCTTATGTGGTGTTATACATTACTGGAAAGGGTTTTTCTTGCCTACTTAGAAGATCCAGACAAGTAAAACGTATGAATATTTGTTTCATAAATTCTCGATTCTTTACTTCTATAAAAATTTTATGTCTTTACATCACAATTATTTCAAGAACTTTTCATACTCCTATTTTTAATATTTCTTGCTTTACTATGTGAATAAATATGATACCCGACTAAAACAATGCGCATTGTACTTTGCGTATAGTTCATTCCTTGCATCTTTGGCAAAGTTCAATATATCTTTTCTGTCAAAAAAAGAAAAACATCACTAAACTTCCTCATAGGATCGATCCACGTCATCGGACCTTTTCCCCTGTTGTAACATCCACCTTTAACTTTTACCTCTCACCTTTAACCTCAATGTTCTTCTGCTCTTTAATCCCCAAGTTTGAAGCGATCTTCATTACTT